TTTTTTTTTTTTTTTTTTTTTTTTTTTTTTTCCTCCTTTCTTCTCTTTTGACTGTAAAATTTTGGAGTCAGGAATTGAGGGTGATTCTTAAGTGGGTGCTGGAGGGATGAATGTCAGTAGAGAGAGAGAGAGAGAGAGAGAGAGAGATGTAGAGAGAATCAAATCAAAAGAGAGAAATAAAAAAGGAGATCAAGGAGAGATGGACATGTCACGGGTTTGTCTTGAAAGGCCCTTATTTCACAGTTCAACACAGACAGAGAGACACATATTCTCTCACACCCAAACAACCAAATTAATAAACCAAAATTGTTAATATAAAATGAAAAAACTAACTGCACGGTACCCACCACACGACACACTTCTTTTCCTTTCTTCCGCTTTGTTTTTTCCATCCTAAATCCCTCTTTTTTTTTCCTCTCCCTTTCCATTTCCACTTCCATTTCAAACTCTGCTATCTAGCCCCTCCCCTCCCCTCCCCTCCCAAAAAGACTCTTCCTTTCCCATATTATTCCAAATGGCTCTAATGCTTGATAATTGCGAAGGCGTTTTGCTCTCTCTAGACTCCCACAAAGCCATCCCAGCTCCCTTTCTCACTAAAACTTACCAGCTCGTTGACGATCCCACCACCGACCATATTGTCTCATGGGGCGAAGATGACACCACCTTCGTCGTTTGGCGCCCTCCTGAATTCGCCAGAGATCTCCTCCCCAACTATTTCAAGCACAACAACTTCTCTAGCTTTGTCCGACAGCTCAACACCTATGTAAGCTCAACCACCTTCCTCCATTTTATTTCCTCCATTTTATGTTTTTTTTTTTAACTCCTTTTTTTTTCTCTCTCTCTCTTAGGGTTTTAGAAAAATTGTGCCGGACAGATGGGAATTCGCCAACGAGTTCTTCAGAAAAGGAGAGAAACATTTGTTATGTGAGATCCATCGACGAAAAACCGCTCAGCCTCAAGTCACCGTCAACCAACACCACCAATCTTATTCCCCACTCGGTCTCAACGCTGGCTTCTACCATTACCCCGCTCGAGTCAGCATCTCACCGTCCGACTCCGACGACAACCCCAATTGGTGTGACTCGCCGCCGCTCTCCTCCAACAACAACAACAACAACTTCAACAACTCCGTCACTGCCCTGTCGGAGGACAACGAGCGTCTCCGTCGTAGCAACAACATGCTGATGTCCGAATTAGCCCACATGAAAAAGCTCTACAACGACATCATTTATTTCGTTCAAAACCACGTCAAACCCGTCGCTCCAAGCAATTCATATCAATATTCAACCTCTCTACTTTCCGATGGCTTTCCGGTGGGACAACGGCAGCCGAATCACCACCTTCTCGGGTACCATCCGACAAATGCAAAACAAGTTTCCGGGCAAACCCATTTCGTGGCAGGCACTCCAAACAATAATAATGGTTCATCAAAAAGCTTCGTGACAATTGTAGAAGAGCCAAAAACGAAGCTTTTTGGAGTGTCGCTTCAATCCAAGAAACGGGTGCATCCGGAATATGGTTCTAATAATATCGTTAAAGAGAACAACAAGGCTCGATTGGTGCTGGAAAAAGACGATTTAGGGCTCAATCTCATGCCCCCTTCCGCTTGTTAGTTCATCTTCCTCTTCTCTAATTCTCCAATTCCTTCAATTTACAAAAAAAAAAACAAAAAAAATTATCATCTTTTTTTTTTTGAGAATTTTTGTTAGTCTCTCTTAGAAGATGTGTGCGTGGGTATGGCTGTTTGTGATAGTAATGTAAGTTGTATGTATATAACCCTCGGCGATTCTATTGCTGTCTCTTTTCCCCATAACCATTACTATTGCACTACAGCTCTCGATTAAGAAATAGTTTCTTTATTTTTTGTTTTTATTTTCAATCAAATTCCATCATTTTTCTCTTCTCTTCCGTATTCCATTGCTTGTGGGTGTTTGTTTTAATGGGTTTGACCTGGATTACTTCAGCAACATTAATGTGGGGAGTACGAAAAGGGTTCTTAAATGGAAAATTTTTTGCTTTTCATTTCACAGAAAGAAGCGCAAAATATTTTCAAAATATTTGGATCCAGTAATAGTACTAAATATGTTCAAAAAAGGACATTGAATTAAATATTTTAATAATCAACGATTCCCAAACATTGATGCTGTTCTTCAAAAATTAAATAAAAAGCTTAGTATGAGAAGAGAAATGGAGGGTTTTAGGGTTCGAACCAGGTATGGTAGAGTGATGATTGACTGGAAGATAAACCAACCCACTTTGCCGAAATGCCACTCTCTTTTATGCTTTCCCTTTTGTCTCTTCCTGCAGAAACTCCATTACTGGTAAAAAAAAATAAATATATTTTCACTTTTTTTTCTTTCTATCAATCCAAAAGTTTGACCATGGCAGACCAATGCATAACTCTGCACCTCTCTTCCCTTCCACTTCCCGTTTCATAAATATGTGTGTTTCATGCGCACATTTAATTTCCCCACACAACAAAAAAAAAAAATTTAATTTAAAACACAGCTGTGTAAAACCCAGAGTTTTATCTCCACACTAACAAATATATATATATATATATATATATATATATATATATATATATATATTTATCTACAACTTTGGACTATTGTAGACCTTGGGATATCTTTGTCGTGCAATGATAATAATAAACATATAACAACAAAACAACTCTATGATACCTTTGTTTAATGTTTATGGTCCTGAAGCCGTTGTCTTTTCTCACGGGGGGGACTCGCACGTGACTTAGATGTGCACGTGAAGGCTAAAACACAGCCCTTGTCTGTTAATTTTTAATTTTGGTTTGATGCTTCACTTTATATACATGTAATTTCTATATGAATAAATTATTAAATGCATGGTATCAAAGGAAGATACCCATTTGTTATTTTTGGCTTTTTATATATATATATTTTATATAATTAAGTCAAGATTTCTTTTTTTCTTTTACTATTTTAGACCCACTTTAGAATATAGAGTCAAAAAGCTATAAAAAGAAAATTCCACCGCACATCAGTCATATATCATATATCTATGTTTTGCTTTCTTGTAATTATCTTCGTCTTTTTGGCTCATTAAAATAGTTTTAATTCAATTATCTTCTTGTTGACGTCTGATATTGAACCAAAAAAAAAAAAAAAAAGTATGTGGGCCTTGCCCCTGGCCCATTATTACCTTTCTTCGTTGGGCTCTGCACCAATGGACTATTATTCACGCACATCGCTTTTATTGGCCCAATAATACTCTATAAGCCCAGAAGTTGGCTCTTTCTTCAATCTTTCAACCACGAAATGAGATGAAACTGTTCTCATGGTTACTTTTAGGTTATATTATTAAAAAATAACTTTATGGTAGATTTTTACTTTTTGTAAAAATGAGATAAAATAAAAAAAGTAAAAATAATATTATTTACAAACGTCTGGCATGAGACTTAAAAGGCATAAAAGTTTATTTGATAAATATTGTTTTATTTTCTGTAGTATTTTTGAAGAAAGTGAAATCTTTCAAATTCAACGAGAAGAGGAATGGGTATAAAACCGCAGTGAACCCAATCTCCCTCTCTTTCTCCTACGTTGCCGTTGCCGCGCTCATACTCGCTCCCGCTCAGCAGTCCTCTTTCGATAACGAGTAAGTAATCTTCATTCTCTCTCTCTGTGTCTACTTAGATTCGTTGAGACACTTCGAATGGAATGTGAATTTTTTATTAATGTGTTCTGTGCATCCCACTGTGAACGCACAACACTGTGCCGCTCACCATTGATAGGCGTTGAAGCACATTGGACTGTCGTTGTGGTGTTTTTGGCGTAAAATCCAATTCCTAATGTCTCGATGCTTCAACTTATGTCTATGCTCTTTAACCTGTTGATTATTTAGTAAGCACACCTGTCTGAATGGAAATAGAGATCGAATGATTCGTTTCGACACCTAGTTGTCCTAAACCTATCTGTTCAAACAACAGGACGTGTAAATTGTAGTTGAGATCCTTTTATCCTTGTTGAGAAGAGGAGATCTAGCATATTCTAAGGAAATTGCAAGTCACAATGGTACCAGTGGTCGCTTCTTCCGCACATGGTCTTGTTTGTGCTGGTGAGAGGTTTCTTGCAAGCTCTCAACTACGAGATCCTGCTGCCATCTCAGGCTCCATTCTCTGCTGGTCTTGGATTAAGGTACTAGTTATTGTGAGTGTAAGTGTAACAAAGTCCATCGTCTGTTCCCCAATAGTGTGCTCAATTAATTTTTCTCCGTGCAGCCTCAAGTAGAAGTTAATAGCTTCCCGGCTGAACCAACAATGGCCTTGGCTTCCTGCAATGAGGCTACATATATCGTTGGTGGTGGTTTCTCTGGAGATATATACTTGTGGGAGGTAAAGTTTGATTTATTTTCTGAAAGTAAAAAAGTAACATAATGTTTGCATCAATTTCTGAGATTTCTTAACTGTGGAAAACTACATTTGTCCTCTTATTATATTAGTTGGCAGTTGCACATTCTTGGCTGTAGTATAAGCAGGCATGTTGTTGCTGCACACTTTGAGCGTTAGACTGCTTAGCAAATGGCTTGCTCATTATAGGGCAGTTGCTTGTTACGTATTGCTGTCAGCCTCACGATTTTAAAATACGTCTTCTAGGGAGATATTTTTACACCCATATAAAAAATGTTTTGTTCCCTTCTTCAACCGACGTGGGATCTCACTAGAGAATGATCCGACTCCCTGCTAATTTCTGGTTCTGAAGATGGCTGCGTTATAGTTTGGTCCTTTCTAACGTATAAAAAAATTTCATCCTGCAGTCGCACCTGTGTGTCTACTTAGATATTATTCACTAATTGAAAGTTTTCTCATACATGTTTATAACAGAGTATTTGATGATGGATGGCAAAGGGAAGCAAAACATTTGTATGCATAGTTTCACTGGGCATAATTTCCCTGTTTACTGATATTGTCGTTGGCTATGGAGGATCCAATGCTATTATAATCTCTTCCTCTGTGGATCGTACTTGCGAGGTTCGGCACTCTATTGAACTTCAACGTTAATAATATAATTTTGTGATGATGGGCTTTACACTTTGGTGAATGAATTAGTTTTACGATATCTTTGGTTTTTAATTTATTCAACTTTGCTAGTTAAGTACTTGAATTGGCTGTTTAATTGAATTGACTTTGTGAATTGCACTTTCTTGCAATTACTGCAGCTTGACTTTTAAGGTTTGGTTACATTCCATTCTAGGATTTTAGTGTCTTTACTCTTTAGATGCCATGTGCGATATATCAAATGTGTACAGGCATAAGTATTCCAAATGTGCACACTAGGTATTAAAAAACTAAAAACAAATGTCTGTGTTAATCATTATCATTCCTTATGTGTTTTATCTACTAAAGTTGGTGTACTTGACACGGTGACAATCAGTGAAGAAAATTTTGAGAATTAGTTCTAGATAGTAGGTGAGAACTAGTATCGTACTTATAAAAAAGTTCTTGCTGAAACTGCATCAAGTTCATCAACTTCTTTTTTGATATATCCAAGAAGTTTTAGGATGCAGTTATGTTTCAATTCTAAATGCTCATGAAAATTTTGAATTGTTTATGACTTATAACCAATGAATAGTGACTACTTTCCTATCCTACTCCTCTCATATTAAGTTTTCTTCCGACTAGTCAAATTTTGAGTGATATGTTGTATGTCGACTTGTCTTTTCTAGGTGTGGAGCTTATGGGAAACTATTAAGAAATATCATATTTTTAATCATTGATGCAATTTCTATGGGTCCCGATGAATATGTCCTCAAGGGAGGTGGTAGAGATGGGAAAATATACACTGCTGCGCTCAATGCTAAAAGCCCATCCAGCAGTGATTGTGGACTGCATATTCTCGGCTCATTGTCAAATCAGAGGTCTGTTTTTATCTTTGATCTTTTTTATCTTTTATTTATTGTTTGTTTGTTTTTTTTTTTTATTATTTTTTTTATCATTTTATCCATATTCTTGTCAAGTTTCATTTAGATATCTTACACTTGACACCAAAGGTTAAGTCTTCCTCTAAATATTCAAAGGGATAGACAACTTTTTACAATAAATAGTATTACTTTTTCAAAGCTTCAACCAGCCACACATCTCCTTTTTAGGTGGTGAAGGAACTTAATATTCAAAGGGGTTGACAACTTAGTTGGGTGACTTCAGAATACTTAACAAATAGGATTTGTACATAAAAACGACTCAACACCCCCAGGAACCAATTCCAACCTTTCCCTTTTCTTTTGATGCTTCTTGAGTTCCAACAACGCCCATAAACCTTCTTTCCTCTATTTCCTTTCCTAATAATCACAAACCTCCACAATCGTAAGATATTTTTCACTTTGAGCATAAGCTCTCGTGACTTTACTTTTGGTTTTTCTAAAAGGCCTCGTACCAATGAAAATGTATTCCTTACTTATAAACTTATGATCATCCCCTTAATTGATCGATGCGGGACTCCCACCCAACAATCCTCATGTCTCCCTTTAAGGAAGTTTTACCACTTGAGAAAAACACAAAGAAAGGAATGCACAACTTAACAACTTGAGCTACAACCTTCCCTTAGGTCTACTTCTTTTCCTTTCATTCTTTCTTATCTTTTGTCTGAAGCTTAAATCTGTTAGATTGTAGAGCTTAGGATAACAGATTTGGTCTCTTATTTGGTAAGAGACCAAATAAGTTAATAAAAAAGTTCTTGAGCTTATCTATTCTCCTATTCGGTCTCTTTTTTATTTCGTATTTTTCATCTAATGTGTAAGTTAAGTGGAATTGAATTCGATACTTATTAACTCGGATGAAAACTCAAGATGAGGAAAAGAATCTAATACTTGGAAACCGACAAGGTTTATCGTAGAATTCCATTTTCTTTATTCTTTTTTCTGTCTTTTCCTTGAAAGAATAAGAGGGAGAAGGTAGTTATTTGCTTATTATTCAATTTAAAAAAAAAAGCATTTTACATGTTTCTCACGCGAAGAGCTTGCGTGCAGTAATAATAAGAGGGAGAAAAGGGTCATAACACATCAAAGTTTTTTTTTTTTTTTCAAAAAGAAAGTAGACTAATAGGAATTGTAATATTTATCACGACTATTTAGTAACTCTTCTAAAACTAAAAAATTTCAAAAAAGAAAAAGTTCAAACACTTTTTTTTTTTTGTGGAGTTTTATCTATTATATTTAAACATGTTTTTAAATTTATTAAATACACAGGAAAATGCTTTACTTTTTCAAGTGATTGTTCGAATTGCAAACAGTTTTTAATAAGATAAAAATATAAGAGTTATCCAAACTTAAGATGCAATTTAATAAAATTTAAGATAAAAGTTAATAAAATTTATGATAAATTTGACTTTATTAGAAGTCTTAAACTTTTGGGTAAATGTTTGAATTGATAAATTTCAACCACATTCATACATCATTTCTAGTCATAATAAAAAAGAGAAACGAGAAATAAAGTCAATCTTTAGAACCATTTTTTTATTAAAAAAATCTCTGTAAAGGCTAAAATAGCAAATTTAACTATTTTTGTGTTATATAAATCAAACTTTGGGTTGCAAACTTAACATATCATTTCTAAAACGACCATATCGTCTTTCCATTTTCGTTTGAAACAAAAAGGAAATGGATTCAACAGAACATAAGTTTAGTAAAAGTTTTCTAATACTAAAGCTCGACAACGTGAAACTGATCGATCTGCTTCTATTCCTACATCCAACTGCTTACAAAAAAACAAAGTTCATACATTGTTCAGAGAGTAATGAAGATTCATACAAAAACTTCAAAGATCGAGTCTTTATCTTCTTCTACATTCTACTGCAGCTTTTCCTCATTGCTATTGCTCCTGGTCTCGCCAAATTAGACGCCTTTCTCGTTAAGTACTTAAACCTCATCTCCTTTAATGGTGGCATTCTTGGCCTCTTATCTAACATTTTTAAAGGTATTTTTGCATGCATGGCTAACCATCATCTTTACTAATTTCTCTGACTTCTTATCTTTACTATTACATTTCTATATTTAATGTCTTTGCGTAGGAAAAGCACCAGTGAAGCCTAACAAAAAGTCACCGTACTACACATCGTTGGTGGGATTTACTGATTGGAGAAGAGACTTGGACTTGTCCATACAACCCCACGATAAGTTCAGATATTATGGTGGCCTAACTATGATGGCTGCCAAAATCGCCTATGAATCCGAACCCTTTGTTCAATCTGTTGTAAATGATCGTTGGAAGGTAGACAATAACTTCAATTCTTGTTCATTCTATATTATGAACAAGAAATAGAAAAAAAAAATCTAAAATTGATTTACTTTTCTCCCTCTTGCAGATGAAATTTCTCGGTTTCTTTGATTTCTGGAATGGTAAGACTTTGAACTTGTGATTATGTGGTTATAATTCAATTTTTGGAGGTGAAAGTTGAAAATTGTTTCAAATTCTTCAGACTTTCAGAACAGAGCGACAACTCAAGCCTTCATGTTTCAGAACACAGCCACAAACGATCCAAACATAATAGTGATAGCATTCAGAGGCACCTCCCCATTCGACACATACGACTGGCAGGTCGACACTGACTTATCTTGGTACAATATTGAAGGCGTAGGCCACATCCACAGCGGCTTCATGAAAGCCCTCGGCCTTCAGAAGGCCACAGGATGGCCCAAGGAGCTTACCAAACCTCAACATGACTTTGCATATTACACCCTCCGCCAAAAACTAAGAGATATTGTCAAATCCAACGACAAGGCAAGATTTATCATCACAGGCCATAGTTTGGGCGGCGCATTGGCCACCTTATTTGTCACTATGTTGAGCTATCATGAGGAGAAAACAATATTGAAGAAGTTGCAAGGTGTTTACACCTACGGCCAGCCCAGAGTTGGCGACCGACAGTTTGCTGAGTTTATGGTAAATACTGTCCAAAATTATGGCTTCAAATATTACAGATACGTTTATTCGAGTGATTTGGTGCCTAGAATTCCTTATGGTGGCATCGGTTTCAAATACAAACACTTTGGTAGATCTATCTATTTCAACAGTTTGTACCGAGGGAGAGTAAGAACAAACCAACTTTTTCTTTGCCCTCTTTTTTCAGAATGATATTCATGTGTTATTTTTTTGGGTGCAGATGGTGAAGGAGCAGCCAAACAAGAACTACTTCTCGTTGCAATGGGTGATACCCAAGTATTTAACTGCATTGTGGGAGATCATAAGGAGTTTCATAACCCCATTAGTGTGGGGTTTTGATTACTACGAGAGTTTGTTAATGATTGGAGCAAGGTTGGTTGGACTGCTTGTTCCAGGATTCGCCGCTCATTTTCCAGTGAATTATGTTAACTCGACTCGTTTGGGAAAATTAACGGCATCCAATGAAGTTGATGACCCAATTCATGAAGATGATATTGAAAGCGACGACTAGAAGATATGGAGAACATGATTATAAGTTAAAAAGAAAGTTTGGGAAGTAACTACAATAAAATAAAATTATAAATTTGGTATTTGAACTAAGTGTCTTCAATGTAAAAAATATGGAATAAAATGTTGTATTTTTAAAGTTTTATATTGGGTTACGAATTACAACGTCCATCATATCACGATATTATCTATTATGTGACTTTACTTTTAGCTTTTTCAAAAACCGTCGTAACAATGGAGATAGTGTTTGTAACTTATGAATTTATATTTTTTTTTTAATTAATCAACCTGAAACTCAGCCATCTTTAAATTGAATTCCAAATTCAAGTGGCTTTTTCCGGTTGAAAGTAGGTCAGCAATGAAATTGATAAGGATATTCATAGGAAACGATGGACCCAATAGATATTTATTACCCAATTCATATTCATCTTCAACAAGATATTCACGGTGGCTTCTTCAAAATAGCCTGCAAAGATCACGTGGGCGTCCAGATCACGGCACGTGGGAGAAAACCTCAAAAAACCAAAAGAGAGCTTTCAATCTGACTCTGAATTTTACCCCTTTAATCATTCTCAACCACCCATTTATGTTGGAATTTTAATTTTGGGTCATTCAATTTTTCAAATATTGTAAGTATTCCGTGTTAGGTTGGATTTAAGCTGGAAAAATTTTACATTGACTACGTATTAAAAGAAAATTCAAAGAATTAATATATTTAGTTTAAGAAAGCAAATTCATACGTTCGCCCCATAAATTTAACAAGTCTACGGTTAGTCTAAGATATCTCCTCCCAACCGAATGTGATAGCCTCTTTATCTAGCTCTCTGTAATATCCTCCTTTTACTATATCATAGGAATTTACCGGAGATTTACCAGAGATTTACCAGAGATCCAAGAGGCTCGCTTAAAAAAGATGCTATACCATATTTCTTAACTCAACTCGACTCTCGTGAATTGGACCTCAAAGCAATAATATGAGAGAGAGGAAATGGTCAAATCAATACTCCAAAAATTATCTCCATGGGAAGATTCTAATAGCTCTAACCAGCACCCGAATGAAGTCAACGATACTTTAAAACCATTTAAAAAGTTATTAAATGTTATATAAATTAAACTTATCCTTCCTTAAAAAAACCATACCATCTTTCCATTTCTGATTTGAAAGAAGAGAAAAATGGTTTGGAAAGAGTGTGAATTTAGCAAAAATTATATGATACTGAAGCCCAACGATGCTAAACTTCTCGATCTGTTTCTATTCCTACTTCCCTTCGGTCTTCGAAAAACAAAATTCATCGATTGTCCAGAAGGCAATGAAGATTCATACAACAACTTCACAGATCGATGGTCCATCTTCATCTCCGTCCTGCTGCAGATTATCCTCGCCGCGGCCGCCACTCCTCTCGCCAAACTAGACTCCTTCCTCGTTAACCTCTTCAACTTCATCTCCTTTAACGGCGGCATTCTTGGCCTCTTAGCTAAAATTCTCAAAGGTATGTGTGGCTAACCATCATGTTTACCCGTTTCTTTGAGTTCTTATTTAGGGTTTGAGGTTTGTGTAGGAAAGGGATTGGTGAAACCTAATGAAGATTCATCGGACTACACGTCGGTGGTGGGATTTGCTGATTGGAGAACTGATTTGGACTCCTCCATACCACTCCACGACACGTTTAGATACTATGGTGGTCTCACTATAATGGCTGCCAAAATCGCCTATGAATCCAAACCCTTTGTCCAATCTGTAGTAAATGATCGTTGGAAGGTACACATTCGTTCTCCCTTAATTTAATCATGTCAATAGAATCTTAAGTGTCGAACAAAGAAATTGTTAGTCTCAAAAGTGTAGTCAAAAGTGTCTCATGTGTCTCAAAGAAAGTTCTGTAGTGTACTTTGTTCGAGGAAACGATGTTAATTTAAGGAATGATTAGTTCAATGTGAAACTTTTATTAAAAGAAAGAATAAAACAAAAATTTAATTATTCTTCTCCATCTTGCAGATGAAGTTGCTCGGTTTCTTCAATTTTTGGAATGGTAAGACTTTGAACATGTGATTAAGTGGTCATAATTAGATTAGCATTGTTTTTATAATTAATTAAGTGGGTCTTAACCTGAATAATTTCAAATGGAGCAATATTAAATAATTGCACGTTGATTAATTATGATTATTTATATTTATATTTATATTTATTATTGACAAATGCCTGTGTGGAATATGAATAGTGGATGGAGTCGTGTGATTCGTGCAAGATAACATCAACGAAGCCTAATTTTTAACTTTATTTGGCAAATTTGCCCAACAAGAAAGACTAACACGTTGGAAATTATAATTGGCAACTCTTTTGAATAAGTCAATTTTTAATGACAACATTTGTCTTCAACGTAGATTTTACCTTAAATTTTCCCTTTAATTTCCTTTATTTAAAAAAAAAATTGAAATTTGAAAATTGTCTGATTAAGAATGTTTATACAGTCTGAACGATTTTTAAAAACAACCCTTAGAGTTAAAAATGGAAACTTTGTGTAACTTGTGTGTCAAATTTTCCAGACTTTCAAGGTAAAGCTACGACTCAAGCTTTCATGTTTCAGAACACGGCCACAGACGACCCAAACATAATAGTGATAGCATTCAGAGGCACCTCTCCACTCGACACATACGACTGGCAGGTCGACGCCGACTTCTCTTGGTACGACATCGAAGGCGTAGGCCGCATCCACAGCGGCTTCATGAAAGCCCTCGGCCTTCAAAAGGCCACCGGCTGGCCCAAGGAGCTTACCAAACCCCAACATGACTTTGCATATTACACCCTCCGCCAAAAACTCAGAGACATTGCCAAAGCCAACGCCAAGGCAAGATTCATCATCACGGGCCATAGTTTGGGCGGCGCATTGGCCACCTTATTTGTCACTTTGTTGAGCCTCCATGATGAGACACCAATATTGGAGAAGTTGCAAGGCGTTTACACCTACGGCCAGCCCAGAGTTGGCGACCGACGGTTTGCTGAGTTTATGGTAAACAGTGTCCAACAATATGGCTTCAAGTATTACAGATATGTTTACTCGAGTGACTTGGTGCCTAGAATTCCTTCTGATGGCGTCATTTTCAAATACAAACACTTCGGTAGATCTATCTATTTCAACACCCTCTACAAAGGGAGGGTAAGAACAAACCTACTTTTTCTATCCTTCTCTTTTACTGAATAACTTATAATTTTTTTTTAATAAAATTAATTCTTCTCTTAGAAAATAAAATTATTTTAAAATTGTGAAGCTTTAAAATGGATAATATCTCTGCTAGTAGTGGACTTGAGTAGTTAGATCGATCCATTCCTAATTTTTTTCTTTTTCTTTTGAGTGCAGATTGTGAAGGGGCAGCCAAACAAGAACTACTTCTCTTTGTTATGGGTGATACCCAAGTATTTAAGTGCATGGTGGGAGCTCGTAAGGAGTTTCATAACCCCATTAGTGTGGGGTTTTGACTACTACGAGAGTTTGCTAATGAGTGCAGCAAGGATCATTGGACTGATTATTCCAGGACTTGCAGCTCATTTTCCATTGAACTATGTTAACTCGACCCGTTTAGGAAAATTAAAGGCACCTGACGAGGTTGAAGACCCAATTCTTGAAGATGATATCGAAGGCGACTACTAGAACATATGAACATATGGAACAACATGATTGTAAGTTAATATTAGAAAGTTTGGAAGTACCAAAAAAGGAAAAAAAAAAAAAAAAAAAAAAACAAATTGGTAAACTAAAGTTAAATTATAACTTTGATTCAATTGTCCATAGAAATCTGTTTGATGTAAAGAATTATAATTTTATAGTCGACTTTGTTATTGTAAAGAATTACAATAAAAATATTTTTGGGGCTTTGAGGCCTTTGAGGCTTTTTGAGGCTGTAGTTGTAGCCCAACAATGTTGAACTAGGTGCGGTACTGACCCAATGGCTACATTGAAGGTAGCTTCTTCAAAATAGCCTGCAAACATCACGGCATCGGATCTGGTTGTTTGGTTGGACTTGGACAATTAAAAAAAAAGATTCACAAAAATAAAAAAAATAAAAAAAATCTTTTTGGTCTCTGACTCTGAATTTCACCCTTTTAATTAAGCTCAACCACCGAATCGGTTGGAATTATAATTTTTGGTCATTCAAATTTTTAAATACGAAAAAAATTCCCGCGTCCCCTCCGTGTTAGGCTGGATTTAAGCTGGAAAATTATTCCTTAATCAGATATTAAAATATGGATCACAAAATAATATAAAACATTTATTAAATTCCTTATTCATATTTACTTTTTGCTTCAACTCGATGGTACATAAATAAGCTCTTTCGGTATTCATAAAAATATATAAAATAATAAACTTCTTGACCATATAATTCAAAGGGTAGTAAAATTAAATTATAGTTACATATTTAAAGTGTGTATGATACTTATATTTATATTTATAGCTGTGAAATTTTATGAAAAATGCCTAAAATTAATGGTTTATGAAACAAAAATTAAATTTATTATTCTAGAATTTTTAATTAAAATTTGTGATTCAACTTAATAAAAAATTGAAATTGAACCTTGCTGAGCAAGGAATTAGACGCCTTAACCCTACCCTACTCTCTTAGGATATTAATTAATGGATGAATTAATACTCTCTTAGGATATGAATTCATTCATTCATTAATATCCTAAGAGGGAAAGGTAGCGTTGGGTTCAAGCGTCTAATTCCTTGCTCGACAAGGTCCAATTCCAATTTTTTATTAAGTTGAATTACAATTTCTAATTAAAATTTATGGTTTATAATTAGTTAGATTAACATGAAAATACTTTGCCTTTTCAAATAGTTAACCGAATAAAAATATATTGAGCGATAAATATTGCAATCAATTAAAAAAAAAAAACGAGACATTTTATTAAAATTTTAAGATAAAAATTAATGAAGTTTGTCTTTTTTTTTCCCTTAAAACAATAAATTATGACATACTTGGGGGATAAGGTATGAGTTAGAAGGATTGGTGTGTTGAATAA